ACAAGACTTTGAAATTTGCAGAATTGCATCAAAGCCTAGCAGTCACAATGCTTTTAATAATGGTAACATTGGCATGCATTTTGCTCCGAAATCGCTATATATATGTATCACATACATAAGCACAAAATCAACACATACCGAAATTCACTTTGCTCCTTTATTTTTATTTTGGCTTCTCAAGTGGAAACCAGCACACTTTTGCACAAGTGACATAGCTCATTGTGCCATACCCTGGTCTCAAAAATGAAGCAGTGAAGTTATGTTCAGTGTTAGTTGTGTGCCTTATAATGATACACTGCTTTTTATATGTACAACTTCATCAATTACTTACTAATATTAGCCAGAATGCGGCTTAAGTGGTTAAACTTTAGCAATGCTTCACTGTGCATACACATTCATTATTTTATGCAGCATAATATAGAACACACTCTCATAATTTTACTCTGTCACGTTTCGTTAAGCAGTAGACATTCTATTATGTAAAGAACTAGTATGATTAATGAAAAACTTCGAAATGCTTGTTTACAACCTTCTGTCTGGGTCATGATCTCGTACTTGGCAATGGCTGTTTTGTCAGACAAGGCTTACATGACATGCAGCTTGGGGTTTGTAGAGCTTGCTTTACTTAAATGCGTCCACTATTTCAGATCTATAACGTCCATGTTTAAGAGGATCGCGCGTGACAAAGGCATTGTGTCGACAAACGCTAATGCCATACTTCGAAAACTAACTTGCGGCTCGGTAGTGGTACACAACGCAATATTGCTGCCATACTCAGCACCCAGCCGGTATTAACACTAAATAAAGCCAACCATAGAACTTTTGCGATATAAATCTACTAATTCATTGAGTAGATAAGCAGCACTTCTACGTTACAGCGCAAAACAGCACAACGCTGCTCGTTCAGTCAGCACGTGGTGAGCAATCAGTGAAGAGAAATAGATCGTTCACTATGCAGCAGAAAGTGCTCAACGACTATCCTCTACGCGGACACAGCTAAATGCATTTCGTGATTACATACCTGCAAGCTCCAGCTGGCACAGTCTTGTTCGGCGAGCAGGCTGCTGTTTCGATGCGTGCTGAGCAGGTCTTTTCTTGTCAACTCACCATGAAAATTTACTACTATGTTGCGGTCGCGAAACCTCAATAAATGTTTGAACGCCTATGCTAAGACATAAAACTAAAGAGAAAAAGTGCGAAGCTCTCAAAAGCAGGATGACAATGCCGTAGCTCAGCCGAAGTGCTGAAGGCTCCGCTGAATAGCGTGCTTTGTCCGTAAACTACTGAAGAAACTAGTGCCACTGCAAGTGTGAGAGCGGTGAAAATATTGAGGGATGGCAGCGCAGGCGCTAGCAAATAACCACTATTTGACATAGCTGTGTTATATAGGCAATGTTGCTCATATTGGCTGAATATTTCTCATAAACAAACTATGTTAACAAAGGCATAGTGTTAACGCACGAGGTTTGGGAATTGTTAAATAATTATTAGAGTACATCACATGCTTTACTCGCGCTACGCACCGGTGTGTCAAGGTGCTTGTTTGCCAGCGTGTACAGGTATATTCTGCACTGATATGTCCGCAGCTGTTTTTGTGGAGAATGTTGGAATTGTGTCAATATTGTCGTGATGATATTCTCCATATCCTTCCAGGAGTTGTCAGACGAGATGATTTTTATATGATGCGTGCTCTTAGGAAGACATGCCGTATTCAACTCAAGAAGTTATAAGCGTCTGTTGCGGCACAAGTAACTGATTGTGTCACGGGTCACTGCACCATTTGCTGGTTGGCAGCGCATTGAATTGTGAGATCAGCGGATGCGCATGAAGAGGACTGCAGAACAAATCATCTGTGTGTCGCGTTGTGAACGAACTGATGGAAGTGCAAAACTGCCCTCGCTGCCTGTTTTTGTTGGCGCAGTTCATCACAGTTAATAACCAAGTCGGTGTGGTGCACAGCGCGAAGCACAACTTCAGTGTTCTTGGAGGAATATACAGCTTGTTTAATAAGTACGAAAATTTCATCCTACAAGTCGCATTTGTATCACCGACACAGGACCTTACTGGAAGGCACCAGCAGTAGTTTGCAGCACCGTTTTCATGAAGGAACGAGCAGTGCAGATCGACCAGATGGAATGGGCAACGAATCTTTACACCAGCAGAAAGCGGGCCCTGAGCCTTTGGAGTCAGACAGCTTTGGCAGGCGAAACGACGAACCAGTTAACAATTATGCAATACAGGACCGTCGAAACGCAAGGCCGACTTTTAGGGATTTCTTGAGGAAGCAAAGTCTGCCTTATGGAGGTTTTTAGTGCTACTGGGCATCATAACTTGTCTCACACGGGTGTTGAGAAATTGTTATCTGAACTGCAGCTGGTATTTCAGCTTGTAATGAAGGCCTATGCGAATGAATGAGCATATGCTTGTAGACACGTGGGGGCAGCCCGGAAACTTCACCTTCTGCTGTCTTGCTCCTTCGTTCCTGACCTCTTAAAAGGGCTCGACAAAAACTTGTGCGAGAAAAGTACGCCAAAGAGGCGTTTCCTTTTGTTGCACCAGAGAAGCAAGTCTCGGGCCAAGGTGCCAAGTATTACTATTTGCCGTTGCCGAAGAAGCTTCATGTCCTCTGCAATATCTCAGGCATTGGGGCTCATTAGAAGACCCCTCAGCTTGACAACCAGACACTGAGTGTCTGCAGAGATTACATGGATGGTACGCTTTATAGAGAGCTTCTTCGCTCTGTGATACCAAAAAGCTGTGCTTACAGAGTAATTATTTTGTTTTAAATAGACGAGATTCAGGTAGTCAATCCACTGGGTACCAAACGAGGAACCCATAACACTTTGTCCATCTACTGCTGCTTCCTCAATCTGCATGCTAGGTACAGGTCATAGCTGCAAAGAATATACCCGGTAATGCTCGTGCGTTATGCATATGTGAAGTCCTATGGTCTCACACGTGTATTGCGGCCGCTCTTGACAGACTTGAACCATCTGTTCACAAAGGTCTCACCATTGACTTGGAAGGCATGACAAACGTCAGGGTACTAATGTTTAGATTTTCTGGTGACAAATTGTCAATGCACCATCTAGAAGGGTTTACATGCTCATTCTGCAATCGCCGTGTGTGCAGGTTCTGCATGGTACCTACGAAACAGTTCTCGCTTCAGACCAGCGAAAGCCTGTGCAAAGTACGCACCGTGGCCCCGCCGTGGTGGTCTAGTGGTTGAAGTACTCGGCTGCTGAACCGCAGGTCGCGAGAGCGAATCCCGGCTGCGGCGCCTGCATTTCCGATGGAGGCGAAAATGCTGTAGGCTCGTGTGCTCACATTTGGGTGCACGTTAAAGAGCCTGTTATGATCCTCGTCAGTAGGCGCCATGCTGTCGCGGCGAAACGTAGCCGCGCAGCGCTCGCACGCCCGGAACCCCAGTTTCTCGGATCCAAGGACGGGGAGCGATGAAAGGATTAGAAAGCGGTCCGTAAGCCAATGTCCCTACAAGAAATTCCTCCAGGTCAGGTTGTTTAGCAAGACGGCGAAGCAGACAGACAGCACACGTCGTGTCTTTGCGATTCAAGTATCTACTCCTTGGCTGGCCTTCCTGGGAAAGGCGGAAGAAGCAACCTAACCGTTAAATTGTTCCGGGAGAGAACCCCCGGAACAATTTTCTGGGGTTCTCAATGCTCTCAGAGCATTGAGTTGAGAGATGCAATAACTATTCGGCGGACCGTGTGTTATTGACTGTTGGCCTGTTGACATTGTTTTATGTGTATGATAGGTGTTCCGATCAAGGAGAAGGAGTCCGACAGGGCTTAAGACGACGCTGCAGAGTGCTGGACGTCACTATGAACAATGTAACGGTTCAACCACCACACTCGTGATTTGTGAACTCCTAACCTCATGCTGTATATAATTGTAAATAGTGCCATAAACCTGTTTGTTATTCGTATCCCGATCTTGTCAGCGTTCGTTTCCTCAATCCGAAGTTACACCACGCTAACACAAGAGGCCGGGTAGACCCCGGTCCCCAACAACTGGTGATCAGCACTGGGATTCGGAGCGACTACTGGAGTACGATGCTGGGAGCCGCAACAACTGGTGGGCAGCGGTCGGATACGAAGCTACAAGAGACAACAGTCGGCCCATAGGAAGCAGCTGGCTCGAGACATAGATCACGTATGGGTAAATTTTAGAACTGGCAGTAAACTTGGCCAAAATACTCAGTTTTGCCATTTAGGGAAGTTTTTTAGGAAGTAGCGAGCACTCAGTACGATTATAGACTTACAGGAGCTCCAGAAGTCAGACTTGTTCCTGTCGTGTCAGAAATTGGAGATCGATACAAAGGGTTTGGCAAGAAAACCCATCATCATAAAAGCAAATAATGATTTGGGGGCTGATGATGAAGAACTAAGTGAAGAATGGGACGTCATCATTGAAAGAAAGTTAAGAGCAGCTGAGATGGTAGGAAAGAAAAAAGACGGAAGACTAGAGCTCAAGGTACAGTTTTTTGAAGAAGACTATGAGATGAGTAAGAGGTTGGGACCCAGTGAGGCGTAGTTCTTCTCGACGATGACGCAGAGTTCGAAATTTCTAGGTACATGCAGCCAAGTGAGGTATCGCGGGATGTGGGCCTGTATCCTAGACCCTTTGAACGAAAGTGCAGGCAACTGTCGTGTGAGCGAGACACCTTGTCTCAGAAGCTACTCGCGGTTCTGCCCTGCGAGGCAGCGGATGCTGTTGCGGGACTCAGTAAGCAGGACGCGAACAACTACGAAGTTGTTAAAGCAGAGCTAATCAGGAGATTTGGAACCTATGTTAGCAAAAAGAAAGAAAGACTCAGACCGGAGTCTGAAAGCGAGGCGCGTCGCAAAGCGTCAGAAGTTGAGGCACGTCATAAAGCATGAGAGGAACAGATCGCGCCAGAGAAGGGCCCGCATATTCTAGAATATATCAAGGTAGAGTATGTAGAGAACGAGGCCTTGGCTGGTCTAGACGTAGGGAAGATGTCGAAAGACACCCCTTACGTGGACGAGGAAGGTTCAAACAGCTTTAATGGGCCCAGTAAGGAGCTGGAAAACTTCTGTGTGCCTCAAGAGGATGTTTCGACATCATCAAATATGAGCATGATTAGCACAATAGCTCATGAGAGCAATACTGTGATGCTTCAGCAGTGCAGCGATATCGTCAAGGTGGTAAGCAAACATCGCCGAAAATAAAGAAGCGGAAGCGTAGGGCACTGCGTAAGCCTAGGAGAGGTCCTACTCCTTCGCGCGAAAGACGAAAGGGTAGGCTGTTAATCCGTTTCAGGAAACGTCAATGGTGGCATTGAGGGAGGCATAAGCAGCGAGCCAGATGTGGAGAGGGAAAACGAGGTGCGTCACCCCAATGAAGCGCACGGTTCAGTTTGACAACTTCGGGAAAGCGGCCTTGCCCGAAAGGTCAAAGTCGAAAGGGCAGAGTGGCTAAATAGCGCATAGGAGGGAGAACACAAAGAGAAAATGGCAGAGGTTTCAGCCCCGCTTCTCTCATCCCTTTAAGATTCCTGAGGACAGCCTGCTGAAGCGCCGAATGAGGTGTGATAGCAGGACACCGCGTAGCGTTTGTGCGTTGTGTAGCCTCTGGCGAGCTTGAAAACCACGGGGATCACGACCCCATTGTGTGCGATTCAAAAGAATAAGGTTAAGAAAGGGGGAATGGTCAGTTTGAGTATCTCTTGCACAGGCGTGTTAAATATGGTTACTTAAGCAGCATTAGAGATGCCTATTTGAGTCCCTTTAATTTTGTAAGTTACGTGATGCGGTGTGAATATTTCAGAGGGAAAACCGCCGAACCAAAGGCTGAAAGTTAGAATCGAAGGGATTCAATCATTAGGGCGAATATGCGCAGAAGGTGAAAACTAGAAAATTGTGTTATTTTTCTAGTATTTTCGAGGGTTAAGTGTAATGTCGTATGCCTTCACTGCCATGTGGATGTGACGTGAATGAGAATTTCAAGTAGCAAGATGTTAGCGTAGACCAAACGATTTTGTAAAACGATTAAGCTTGGCGCGACACAGTGGAATTGTCGTCGCGCGGTGTGAGAATCGAGAGCCATTGGTGCACGGTTTTTGCAAAAACCTGTGCATTATTGTGAGGTGGTCTTGATGAGTACAGCACCTAGGATTATTTTTGTGTTTTACACAGAGTGTTACAACGTAACGAAAGAATGTTAGAAAAACTGTGAGGGATTATGCGTTTAGTTAATAGTGGCCTGTATTTTGCAATGTCGTAGATATGAGACTAATTGAACACTCAGGAGAGCCCAGTAAGTTCTACTAAGAGGCATTAGCATAGGCTGTTTGCTTTAATTGAACGAACCTGCTAGAAGGCAGTTGTTGTTCGGTATGTTTTGTTGGCTTTCTTTGAAGACGATTGATCAAGTGATCATGTGAGCGTAAAAGTAAGCTTTTGCTAATGTTGAGGAAACTAAGAGTATTTTGGCCACAGCATAGGCCAAAGTTTCAGGAAAGCTAGATAGCTTAACGTCTCAGTATTGGACGGTCGTAAACAAAGACGGACGTTGGGACAACTTTAGCGCTCACTGAATGCTAGTTCCGGACTCATGCTCTCAGCAGGACAGAACCAAAAAAAGTGCTCAACGATGACAAGAAGGAACCTGCTTTCTTAAGCAAAGCTGCAGTACTGATCATCGTATGGTTTTGAGAGTTCCCTATTACGACCAGGTTAACTGGCAGAACATGAGAGAGGCCTTTGTCCTGCAGTGGGCGTAGCCAGACTGATGATGATGATGACGATGATAATGATTACGACAGAGAATTAACGGTTCAGTGTTATGTGAGAGGTCGAGGCCTAGGTGCCGTTCTATGTGAGGACGACAGTGGTAACAAGCAAAGCTGCGCTTTACTACAGCCAGAAATTGGGCTCTCGTGAGATAACATACTGCGCTTCAGAAAAGGAGTGCGCTTGCATTGTGTAAGCCAGTCATCAGTTGCAGTGTTATCTCGGGAGGTGCTAAATTTAAAAAAGAGACAGACCATTGTCCCCTTGAGTGCAAACTGTGAATTCTAAGAATAGTCGCCTTTTGAGGTGGAGCTTGATTCTTCAAAAATATCAGTTTGCATTAAGTATAGGAAGCACAAATTGATGGGAAACGCTGACGCGCTCGGCCGCTATTTCTAGGCTGTCTAGGGGTGCTCTTTACGTGCCAAAATTGATATTTAGTTTTTTTCGGGCAACATATTATGTGAGAGTCGTAAGCTAGCACGTCTGGTTTCTCAGATCAAGTGGCTCCTGAAAGTTTTGAGTGTGAATTTTTTGTTTAAAGCTAGGTAAGAAAATTGGTTTGCCATCCCTCTTTTGGCTTGGTCTGTTCGAAAGGGGCCGAGTGCTTGCTTCTGCAAGTGATCCAGTTCCAGAGACGCTGTCAAAGTTTTCGGCAATTACTCAGACAATGCGACAAGCAAAGGCCTGTTGCGGGCATTCAACTATGGACCATTTCGTCGTCTCTTTAAACAGCAGCGGTGATTGCTGCCCTCCATGACTCATCTGGCGAGGGGAAGCTGCTATGACCCTCGTCAGTAGACACCATGCTGTCACTGAGAAACGTACCTGGGCAGCGCTCCCATGCCCGGATTTCCAGTTTCTCGGATCAAGCGACGGAGAGCGACAAAAAGATTAGAAGACAGTCCGTGAACCAATGTCTCTACAAGTGATTCCTCCGGGCCAGCTTGTTTAGCAAGACGGCGAAGCAAACCTATCGCACAGGTCGTGTCTCCGCGATTGAAGTGTCTAGTCCTTGGCTGGTCTTCCTGGGAAAGGCGGAAGAAGCAACATAACCATCAAATTGTTCCGGGAGAGAAACCCATTCCCCCTCTTCTCACGTCATTGAGTTGGGAGATTTAATAACTAGACGGTGGACTGTGTGTTATTGACTGATGGCTTGTTGGTGGTGTTTTGTGTGTGTGATTGGTGTTCCGATCAAGAAGGAGGAGCCTGACAGGGCTTAAAACGAAGCTGCAGAGTGCTGGACGTCACTCTGAACCATGTAAGTATTCAACCACCACACTCGTGGTTTGTGAAACTCCTAACCTCATGCTGTAAATAATTGTAATGCCATAAACCTGTTTGTTTCTCGTATCCTCAGTTTGTCAGCGTTCGTTTACTCCACCCCAAGTTACACCACGCTACCACAAGAGACCGGCTCCGACGTAACCCTGACGTTCCGCGACCCCACGTCAGCGGGGAAGCATTGGGTAGACCCCGGTCCGCAACAAGCACCAGGTGTCGAAATTTCTGGGGCGCTCCACTACGGAGTCCTCATCATCATATGGTGACTTCGGGACGTTAAATCTAACATCAGTACGTACCACAGACAGCCACATCTTCACCTTCAGGCAATTTCCGCAAATGGTGCCGTAAACAAACGTCTGTATGATGTTAATGAGCCATCTGTCCTCCTCCAGTTACCTTATGCTGACGTCACTCGCCAGTTGCCACCTGACCTCATGCATGGTGGTTTAGAGCTAGGAGCTGAGTGTGTTTTGCGCCACATTCTGCATGCTTTGCTATCTGTTGAACTACTGTCAAGGAGTAACCTGGACGGAGTATGTGGTTTTCAGTGTGGCCCAAATGACAGTAAAAACAAAACACTTGAAATCAATGTGGAATATTTGACTAGTAAAGCTGCTTTGAAAGGAATAGCGTCGAGCAAGTAGTGTCTTTTGACATTCCTTGCACTGAGTTTTGGAGATAGCATTCCTCAAAAAAATGAAGACTAGGAGCTTCTGCAGCAATGCAGGCAAATTGTGGACATTATATTTGCACCAGAGATCTTCCATACCTTGCTGTCATTGTGCAGTCATTTTGAACAGACATTGCTGCACAATAAGGCCCCAGTGCTGCAACACCTAAGCTGCACTACATGGTGCACTATAGACAGTTTTTTAGTGAAATGGGCCCTCTCAAAGACTTCTGTGCCATGAGCTTTGAAGCAAAGCACCAGAATTTCAAGAATATATCAGCCTGTGTAAAAAAACTTCAAGAATTTACCGTTCACGCTTTCTAAAAGCATCAACTATGGCAGAGCTTTGAACTTCATGAACTTAAACCTTATGAACGGCTGAGCGCAACACAAATCAGACCTGCTGACTAGAGCATACTTTCGGATTGTGCCAAAAAAGTGCTACCGAGAACAGTTCACGAGGTTCAGTCTGCAGCACTTGAGCGACGCAAGTACAGGTGCGGAAGTGTTCCAGTGTCACAAAACGAGGAGTCTCTAAAATTTCATGAAATTCAGTCACTTCTCATTGTAAGTGGTCAGCTATACATCTTGACTAGTGTCCCGAATATTGACCACATTCGATCGGCACAAGTATTGCTACTGCGTAAAAAGTCTCTGCAGAAAGATCACTACCTAGATCTTCACCACTACCGTAGGTCTTCGCCTAGGTCTTCGACGTGGTGGCAGTGGCACTGCTGACCAGGGTAAGATCTGGCATCGTGTCTTGAGATACGCTATTTCCTTTCCTCGTTGGCTGCATTGGGTCTATTATAAGTATGAACTCATTTTGTTGAATTTCGTTCCACAAATTTCTGCCCTTAACCTGGGTGAATTTAGAACCCAATGCCGTATGATGCGCATTAAAGTCGCCCAAAATCAATAGTACGCCGATTGCTGAAATAACCTTTGTTTCGGTGAAAAGATCACCAAAGCTAATTTTGCGCTGCCTGGGGGAACTATACACATTCAGGACTAAAAAAACCCTTGTCTTTGCGCTTGCGAGGCACGAGTTCGACTAAAACATGATCAATCTGCAAGTTCTCCGTCTCGTGCTGCAATGTCATAATGTTTCTCTTTACGAAGGTCGTAACTTGGGTATCATTACCTTAGTAGGCAGCGTGATCTCCTTCACAGTTCGAACGATGAGTTGTTTCTGAGGTGCAGTTGTATGATATGTGTTGAATGGATGCGCACTTTGCGCATGTGGCACACCCTCTGCAACTCTGTGTTCTATGACCGAAACATTGACACTTAAAACATCGACGAGGGTTGGGATTGTATGGTGTTACACGGGGCTTACAATTGCCGGTTTTGATTGATTCTGGTAGGGCACTTGTTCCGCACGTAATTATTACGTGTTTTGTAGGGGTCAGTGTGTTGTTGCGCCTTATTGTTATTCGTTGGACTTTGACCA